CTTACTTGTGGGGGATCCTTGGATGGTTCAGTGGTTGGGCGTCTGCCTTCTGCCCAGGGCATAGTCCTGGAGTCCCGGGATCGAGTACCACATCGGGCTCCCTGCATGGAGCCTGCTTCTCTCTCTGCCTATGTCTCTGCCTTTCTCTCTCTGTGTCTCTCATGAATAAATAAATAAAATCTAAAAAAAAAAAAAAACAAACAAACTTACTTGTGCCTCTTTGTAGACAGTCTTTCTCTCTGTCTCCAGTCCCTGGCAATGACTGGTGTTTTTTGTCCTAGTTTTTTCTTTTCCAGAATGTCATATAAATGATTCAAACAGGCCTTTGAGTCTGGTCTTATACTTAGCATAATGCATTTGGGATTCATGCATATTGTTGTGCATATCACTGTATTCCCACTTATTACCAAATAACACTTATTTGATGGTACTGATGGACCAAGTTTATTTATCCACATGCCAGTTAAGGACATTTAGATTGTTCCCATAATTCCTGGCACACAGATTTTATATGAATGTAAGTTACATTCCACTTGGGTACATATCCAGGAGTGGAGCTGCTAAGTGTATATTTAACTATATAAGGAACCGTCAAAACATTTTCCAAGGTGGCTGTACCATTTTGCATTCACACACACACACAACAAACATGTTCATAACAAAATTAGGAGGAATACTCATGAAAATCATGGTTCTTGTCTCAGTAACTAATCACATGCTCATAGCTGGTATTTGTTACTACTTACTTAATACTACCCATTATGTATTTCTTTTTTTTTAAGATTTTATTTATTCATTCATGAGAGACACAGAGAGAAAGGCAGAGACACAGGCAGAGGGCGAAGCAGGCTCCATGTAGGGAGCCCAACGTGGAACTCGATCCCAGGCCTCCAGGATCACCATTTATGTATTTCCTTTGACCTCAGCTGGTCATGGTTCTGATAACACGGAGAATAAAAGAGTAAGCAATACTGAAAGGGTTATTTAAAATAAGCTCCAGGGTGGCTCAGTCAGTTGAGTGTCTAGCTCTTGGTTTCTGCTCAGGTCATGATCTCAGAGTCATGGAATCAAGCCCCATGTGGGTCTCTGCTCTCAGTGAGGAGTCTGCTTGAGGCTCTCTCTCTCTCCCTCTGCCCTTCCCCTCCCACCACTGGAATAATTAAATAAATCTTTTAAAAAATAATAAAATAGAGGATGTTGAGGATGTGTATGTTTTCTGTCTCAAATTCTCAGAATTGTTGACAACTCCACCAAAATTTAGTTTAAAGGTGAGGAATCTAGAGAAGTTAAGCAACCTGACCTTGATCCCATAGCCTGAAGGGTTAAGACTCCTTCCAACCCAGGCAGGCTTTCAAAGCTCCATGAGCATTAGCCAGGTGGCCTAGTGCAAGTCACGCAACCTCTCAGAATTGCAGTTTGTGATATCACTGGGGGTACAGTAAGACCTGCCCTGTAGGTGAGTCATGCAGATAAGATACAATACATGCTTAGTACAGAATCCACATTGCAACAATTGCTTCATGGCATCCTTTTCCTATTGTTCTCATTTACTATGCACAAAAGAAAGATCTTTTCCCAATGCCTTGATAAGATGAACAATGAAAACAGGACTCAGCAAAGACAACCAGAGGCCATGGGGGTATAGTCCCAGTAAAAGACCCTGAGAACACTTACCAGTTTGGTCCAGGTTTGTCCTGCCAACGAAAAACAGACTATGATCCATACCATGAAACTAGATAGGGTATATTAATGGACTGGACAATAGAGAGACTCATTTGTCCCATACAGGGCGTTATTCCTGGCCCCCTTTGGGATTCTTGGGAGAAAATCAAGCCTACTCCTATAGTAACATCATAGCCATCACATAGACCTGTTACAGAGGGCCAGTGCCAGCATTAGTCCACACATCTCATCTCATCCCCACCGAAACCCCGGAAGTAGGGATTATTCTGCCTATTTCATAGAGGAGAATATAAACCTAAGCCTGCTTGACTCATAAACCCATGATCTTAAAATACTGTACTTATTTAAAAAGACTATTCAGGGGAAAAAAGGGAGGAGAATCAATTCAATATGCTGTAAGCAAAAGAGGAAATATTATTATGAAAGTAGTATTTCACAGATTTCCTGAGTACAGAACCAGAACTGGAAACTAGAAGGCTGTGGGTGTGCGTGCTTGTCTCCACCTCACCCTACTCCACCTCCTACCCCACTGCACCTGCTGTTACCTCAGTCTCTCTTTCTGTGGAGCACCTCCCAACACTTCCTCAGTCCTATGTAGAAGTAGCCACTCCATGCTTCTGACGTTATGTGCTACTGGTCTATCCTCTCAGCCTCAAGGGTTCCCAGTTCCTCCCCACCCCAGCTCCTGGCCCACAAACTCTGATCATCAATGTTCACCCATCTGAAATGGGTGCCTAACCACACCAGGTGACCCTCTGTGTCCAGTCTCTGGGCAAGATTTCCCTGCTGGTTTTTTTGTTTTTTGTTTTTTGTTTTTTTTTTCTTCAGCCCAGCAAATGGCAGCTAGTGCTGCCAGGGGAACATATTGCTCCACAAGAAGACCCGCTGTGGGTAGCTCAGGGGCCAGAGGCAATGATGAGGGCAGAGGTGGGAATGGAGACTCCTTTGCACAGGGAGGTAGGGACCCCAGGAGGGCCCGGTCAAGAGGGGAAGTGCCGAACCCAGCCTGCCCCTACCTCTCCACCCCGGTGTCCAGTTCAGTCACAGGCCAGTCTTCCTGAGGGAGTGGTCAGCACTCAGGGTGGAGGGGGAATTGTGGAGAGAGTACTTTTTGAGGAGGCTGAGTGCTCGGAGGTGAAGGGGGCTTAGTGAGGGAATGAGGGCCCAGTGAGGGAGGTGGCTCATTTGTGAAGGGTCCATCCATGGGGGGTAAGGGCGCCATGAGAAGATCGAGTCTCAGAATGGGGGTGGCTACTGGCCCTTCTTTGTTATAACCTCAACCTCATCCACTCAACCCCCAACCCCCTCTCCACCTACAATCTTCTGTGTGGGCTGTGGCTAGTGGTAGGGGGAAGTGTGAACTCTGAGAGCAGATGTTGAAGGTAGCGTGAGATAGGTCAGGACAGAGTTGGAGAGCCCACTGCACCCAGAACTTGGTCTCAAATGTCAGAGCCAGCTGGCCACCAGGAGAAGAATCTTAGTGGTCTAGCTAGCGTCAGGTCTCTTCCAAAGATCATACCCTGGTTGAGGACCAATAGGAGCATGGCAAGCAGGAACCACCCATGGGAATTACTCAGCATAGAGAAAGGAGATTAGTGCTCAGGATGGATATAAACACTAGAAAAAGTGTTTTCCACAGCTGTACTACTTTCCTATCGGATGTTTAAGCATTTATTTATTTCAGATAATTCAAATCAAGCATGGCCTATATTAACATAAGCATCAATTGAAGAATGTGTAATGAAGATGTTAAGTGCCCAAAGACATTGGTTTAGGTAGAAAAACTAGTAAACCTAGAATGAGGAGTAGCGAATTGGAGAGCATCAGGCCAGCTGCCTGGTGGAAGCTCTAAATACTTTCTGGTCTCTACTGCAATACTGTCTGATAGGCAGGAAAAGAAGAAGAAGAGAAGGGGGAGGAGAGAAGAAGAAGGAAGAAGAAGAAGAAGAAGAAGAAGAAGAAGAAGAAGAAGAAGAAGAAGAAGAAGGAGGAGGAGGAGGAGGAGGAGGAGGAGGAGGACGAGGAGGAGGAGGAGGAGGAGGGGGAGGAGGAGAAGTCAGCCACTCATGTAATATTTTAAATATTTTATTTAATTTCAATTTTCCAACATATAGTATAACACCCAGTGCTCATCCAATTAATTGCCCTCCTTAGTGCCCATCATCCAGTTACCCCATCCTCCCATCCTTTTCCCCTTCTGCAACCTTTTGTTTCCCAGAGTTAGGAGTCTCTCAGGGTTTGTCTTCCTCTCGGATTTTCCCCCATTCAGTTCCTCTCCTTTCCCTTATGATCCTATTCACTATTTCTTATATTCCACATATGAGTGAAACCATATGATGATTGTCCTTCTCCTATTGACTTATTTCACTCAGCATAATACTCTCCAGTTCCATCTATGTCAAAGCAAATGGTGGGTATTCATCCTTTCTGATGGCTGAGTAATACTCCGTTGTGTATATAGACCACATCTGCTTTATCCATTCATCTGTCAAAGGACATCGTGGCTCCTTCCACAGTTTGGCTATTGCCACTCATGTAATTTTAAACATTCTAACAGCCACATAGTTTAAAAAGCAGAGACAAAGACATAAAATTCATGCTAGTGATATATTTTATTTAACCCAGTATCCAAAATATTATTGTTTCAACATGTAATCAATAACATTGTTAATGAGCTGTTTTGCATTCTTTGTTCTAAGTATTCAAAATCTGATACGTATTTTACATGTAGAGCACCTCTCCAGTTGGGTGCAATGTTTTCACTGGAAATACCTGATCCTGATCTGTATTTTAGGTTTACTAAATCTATTCAGTCAGTATTTTAGAAAATCTAAAATAGAAAATCTAAAATACTGACTGAATAAGTAGAGCCATAACCACATGTTTCACTTATTCTGCTACCTCTCATTCGTCATGTGGGATGAAACTAATTCTCAACAGGTTCCCAGTTACTGCTCACTGAGTTGGTCTCTGTCCTGGATTGTTCTTCCTATGGAGAAATGATCATTGGTAAAACTGACCTCATGCTGAGATTGTGAGCCTCCTCCCCACAAAGAAAAACCCTAGCTGGAACCTGGGAGCTACATCTGTTCACCTCTTTGCTTGGTTTATGTGACAACAAACCATTTTTTTTTTTTACAGATCAACTGTGCTGAGTATGTTGAAATTTCATTGTTACTTTCTTTTCATGGAAACAATCAAGTTTCCTTAGGGAGAGCATTTTCTTTGCCCCCTGAAATTCCATGATTGCACATAGGGGGTCAGAGGATCCTGACAGGGTGAATGACTGGTGACCACATGCAAACACCTAACGCTTGACCCTTTCTGGCAATTCTTGAGGACAGCATGAATCACCAAGGCTTCAGACTAAATGGCAGGTCCTGAGGTACCTGTAGAAGGCATCTGGGTAATGGTCTATAAGTCAAATCATGAAATGACAGCACAGGCCTCACAACTCCTACTCTGGTCCAGGGACAGTCCCCCGCAGGAAACATACATGCCAGAGCACTGATGCTGTCCTTCTCACACTCTTCTCTCCTTGGTATGGCTGAGCCTGGTGGGGCCTTGCATCTTCTTATTCTTTTTCTTATTAGTGTTTTGATTCAAGGAAGGAAGAGACAGCTCCAGCTCCCTTTTCTTGGCATCCCAGTCTTCATCCTGCTGGTCCAGAGGGAGTCCCTTCTGCCTGGCAGTGCGCCGGTGCTCCTGGCACTCAGGCTCAGCCCTGGAGAAGGGGGAAGAAGGCCATGTTCAACACCCCAGCCGGGAGGGCCTGTCCCGGCTACAGCAATGGCCCCTCTTCCTGCCCTCTGCACAGTCTGGCCACGTCAGCAGCCCAGGAAAGAAGGAAAGACGCCAAATCCAAGCAACTCCAACTATACCTTTAGGGATGCCTCAGACACTGAAAAATGGCTGTGAGATGGAGAAGACTGGCATGCCCAGAGTGGGAAGTTCATAGAATCAAGGACGGGCACTTAAACTAGAGAAGGTGCTGCTGATTCTACAGTGCTCCCCTTAGTAGGGGGCGGCTTTCTTTCATTTCCTTTCCAGTTGTATTTTTTTCCTAATTATAACACCACATCTGTTTGTCGTGTAAGATTTTAAGGTATGGAAACATACACAAAAGAAATAAAAAGTACCCATAATCAATATGTGTGGTATGTATATATGGATTTATGAAAAGAATAGCTAGGTGATATATAGCCAGATGATAGAGAACAATAGAGTAGATAATAGAGAAATAGGTGAATGAATCATCATATACACATGGACAAGGGGAAGCATATGAAAGTGCCATCTGAAGGAGCTTAAGTGCAAAGCGTTACAGAAAGCACAGTTCAATCAAAAGACAGCAAATCTGTTTGTTCCTCAGTCCCCATCCCCCGCCACTAGCTAGAAGCAATTGCTCCGTATTTAGACCACATAGTATTCCCTCCTCTGCCCTGCTCTTTTGACCTTTGCCACTTTCTATACCATATTAGTGCTATTTATGTAAACAAGTATCTCCTCTCTCAGGGAACTTAATGTCCAGCACCCTATCGGATACATCTTTAAATCCTTTTTAGTACCTAGTTCAAAGCCATGGGCATGGAAGGGTTCAAAAATATTTGTTGAATGAGAGATTTACTACTTAGAGCAGGTGAACCAAAAGTTGAGTTGTTTCACTAGGATCCTAGGATATTCAGATAATTGTCAAATACTGTTGAGGCTTCTACTGAAATTCTTTTGTATCCTCTCTTCAACATTCTAGCCCCAGAGCCCAACTGCTTGAACATGAGGCTTTAAGAAATTCCTCAGTGACCTCTTTATTTACAGTCTAAGTGCCTCCAATCCTAACTGCATATACCTACTGCCCCCTCTTCCACTACTGGGGAGACTTTACTAAAGCATCTGTTTCATTTTGTCAATCCCAGGATGGGTCCACACTCATCTGCTTGCCCAGCTCACAATGGTTACCCACCCACCAGCCTTATTCTCCACTTCTCTTTAGCTGGCATGCTCTTTGTAGCCAGGCCACTCATCCCTCCCCTATCCTTGCCCATCCTCACACTACACACAACCTGTGCACGTTTCCAACTTGATGCCTTCACTCCAAATCGAGAATCTTCCTCCCTCCTTCATGAGTCAGATCTTAGCTGTCTTTCAAGGTCCAGATTAATTTCTCCTTAATCAGGATTCTTTCTCTCTAAACCCTCTTAACTGTCAAAAGGGAAGTTCCTGTGGAAGATGATGATAACTAGAAATGACTTACACGTGATGTGGCTGACCTTTGTTGTTTTTGCCTGCTCAGCCCTGCCTGGTCACTTTTCCTGGTAATAGCACCCTCCCACTCTTTGGACAACCACTCCTCCTCCACTTCAGTTATGCTGAAGGCATGAAAGGTTTATCCACCCATTAGTCACTGGGGAGGGACTGAGATTATGCAGAAAGAGTCAGCGGATGACAGGATCCCGAAGAATTTCAGCATCTAAAAGTCACACAAGAATAGGAGTTCAAGAAAATCATGAAAAGAAATGATCAGAGACATAAAAGGAGAAATCAGAGAGAATAGCACTAGAGAAGAGAAAAAGTTATCCAAAGAGACACTCCAGAAGAGAAGAGTAATCAGATATCAAATTAAGTGGAGGTAAGATAAGAATTGAGAAGAGGCCATTGATTTAGCAACAAAGATCTCCCTGCAAGAGCTGATTCACTGATTCAGTACAAAGTGGAGAAGTACAAAGGTAGGTGAGGAAGACACCCACATAGATCAACACTTATTTACATAGATTAACATTTAAGTAGCATAGAAATGCAGGAAGAGGAGTGCCTGGGCAGCATGGTCCATTGTGCTTCCAACTTAATTCTGGCTCAGGTTGTGATCTCAGGGTCGTGAGCCCCGCGTACAGCATGCTCAGAGAGGAGTCTGATTAAGACTCTCTTTCCCTCTCCCTCTATACCTCTCCCTCCACTCTTAAACAAAGAAATAAATCTTTGGGAAAGAAATAAAGAAATGCAGGAGTAAGAAAGAAACAGCAGACAGGAGAAGGACTTCTAACTGTTTATGTGTTTATTTAAAAAGATCTATTTGAACTCTGTTCAAAGGTCAGAGAGGAATGATGGGAAGGAATAGAAAAAAAGCTAAAAATACAGACGAGAGAATAAAAGATGCAACAAAGAATACAGGACTGATGACCATGTAGAAGATACAAAGGTTTGGGTCAGGGTCTATATGGAAGGATAGACCCTCACAGAATATGTCCCTCACAGAAGGATAGACAGGAAGGTAAGAAGGAATAGATGTATATAGGCATGCTCTTGGCTTCAATATTCTCTATGCAGTACTTTCTGAGGGACAGGCTAAGATATGATAGGGACATGAGTTGTCAGTGAAAGAGTGGGTCAGGGAGATAGCCAAACCGTTCTAAGAGCTCCGCTGAAGATAGAAATCCCAGAACTTTGGGTGGTACTCATGAACTTATCCATGGGCTTTTCTCTACCAGACCAAGCACAGGAGTGAAGACAGAAACTAATACAAGGGTGGTAATTCTAGGTTACATGGTACAGAAGGACAAAGGGCTGGAAATTTACGAATCATGGGAACAGAGCAGAAGAAGTGGTGTATCATGGTGTCCAGATGGCAGGCAGATGGAAGATCATGGAATCTTCAGAGCAGGTGATAGATTGGGAGGGAAAGAAGAAGTTGAATGAGAAGAGGTCTTGATGCACTCAAATACCTGTGTGGTGATCCAGGAACTACAAAATGAAGAAAAATAATCTATGGTCGCATAGTGATACATTAAAGTTTTTAAAAGCTCAGAGAACAAATGTTGCAGATGCTGAGATTCACAATGGATGGAGATCACTGAATGTAGGGGATGACACAGGATTGGAGAGAAGAGTTGTTGAATCAGGACTAAAGGTTTTGCTTCTTTTACCCCTCAAATAAACTTTATTATGATTTTGAATGCTTTTAATATGGAACACCACTGTGAAGAGAAGGTCTCTTGGTTTCTTCTACAGATATCTAATCTCATCATAAGCAACTCTTTTTACCAGTTTAACATCTGGAAGATAACTTCATTTGCAAGTTCTCAGAAGTATATTTAATTGTCATTGCCTCTCCCCACCAAATACTGCTCTATAGATAGATTTGCTATGGATCTCATTTTGGTTTTCCAACAATGCTGCCCTCATTCAATTACTTTACTGCCTCTTATATGAATTTGCTTATTAGCTCAACCAGATTATAAATTCCTAAATTTTATTTCCATCCTCCAAAGTTCTGTTAAGTATATAATTGATATTTAATTCTATTTGAATGCAGTAGGTGAAAGAAAAAAGTAATAGGTGCTAGAGAAGTCCTGATCTTCAGTATGTGAGTAGAAGATTCACAGAGGAATAGAAGTTTTAAAAGGTAGAGGGTCCTTATAGCTGACAGCCTAATTCACCAGTTCCATTTTTAATATGAGAATCTGAGAATCAGCAAGGTGACCTAATTGGCCCAAGATCACATAGCTAGTTTGAATACCTTTCAGGAATCTGAAGGGGCTTCCACGAATCTAGTGCCATGACCCATTTTCAAACTTGGTGTCCCACCTCTCTTCTCTGACATAATTTTTGTATAATCTAAAACAATAATTATAATAATTATATATTATTAAAATTATAAATATATATCATTACAATAATCATAATTTTGGAATAATATAAAAACAGTAGATTTCACATAACCTAAAGCAATATAGTTTCCACCTAAACTAGTCATTTCAGGGACAAGTGAATGAAAACAACCCAAACAACAGTTGGCTGAATTTGCTTGTTTCATTTTCAGGGACTTGAGATCACTGAGTTGGCAAAGACCTTGACCACAGGCTCCTGTTTCTCTGCCACTTCTCTAACTGGAAATGAAGCTTACTTCTCCAAGAATGCCACACAGGCAGTCTGCCCATAGATCTGTGCGATCCTCTTTGGCGTGTCTCCAAAGAAGTCAGGGGCGTCGATGGCGGCATGCAATGCATGGAGAATTCTGAGCACATTCACATGGCCTGACTCAGCAGCAAAATGAGCTGGCGTCCAGCCCACATCAGTTACCAGGCAGGGCCTGGCTCCGTATTCTAAAAGGAGCTGCATCACCTCCATGTGCCCTAAGATGTAAAGGGAAGAAACAGGAGGAGGTTAAGATCAAAATGTCTCTGCCCCACTAAGGCTGGAGCTAGCCTAGATAGTATAAAAGAAAGGATGACATTTGCTTTGAGGTCCTTCCAGTTTGCTAGTATCATCCCCCCCCCCTCCCTTTTCCCTCTCCTACGGGGGACTCAGTGCCCCACCCTTACCTCGTGAACTTTGCTCCCACTAGAGGCCTGAGATTTGCAAGTACTCCCTCGAGGGCACTCCCTTTCCCTGCCCATACCCGCAGGCCCTGCCTTGGAATCTTACTTTCCCTCCCAAGTGACCCTACATATGCCTATGTGGGCTCTGGTAAGGCTCACTCAGCTTTTGGCAGTCTCAGTGGCGATTCAAAAACAAATATTTTGCAACAACCTGGATGGACCTTTGTGGAGGCCGAGAAAAATTAAGGCCATTCCACCACAAGTTTAGCATTAGCACAAGTACAGCCATCTTAGGTCCCTGGGAATAAGAGCTGAACTTTACAGGGAAAACTGCAGATTGTCCTAGGCAGGGAATCCCATATTGGAAGGACAATAAAGCTCAGAATGCCCTCGGCAGAGAATCCCGTATCAGATCTTAATTTTTTTTTTAATTTTTATTTACTTATGATAGTCACAGAGAGAGAGAGAGAGGCAGAGACACAGGCAGAGGGAGAAGCAGGCTCTATGCACCGGGAGCCCGATGTGGGACTCGATCCCCGGTCTCCAGGATCGCGCCCTGGGCCAAAGGCAAGCGCCAAACCGCTGCGCCACCCAGGGATCCCCCCCCCCGTATCAGATCTTAAGAAACTCTCCCACCCTTTCCCCCATATTGGAATGGAAAAAATTCCTCTACCCCTTCTGAAGATCCCCTAGACCAGCCAAAAAAACCCAGCTGTAACCCACTTCGGGGTCCAAGTCCCTGCTCTGCTGTATGGAGTATACTTGGACCCAAGCTGGAGCTTGTAAATAAACCCTCATGTACTTCCATCGGTGTCGGCTCCTTGGTGGTTTCTCGGATTTGCAATCTTGGGCACAACACCTTGAGGGCATTACACTAAGTGAAGTAAGTCAAATAGAGAAAGAGAAATATCATAGGATCTCACTTATATATGGAATCTAAAAAAACAAAAACAAAAAGACACCAAGATCATAGGTATAGTGAATAAATTGGTGGTTGCCTGAGGCAAGAGGTGAGGGGTTGGATAAATGGGTAAAGGTGATCAAAAGGTACAAACATCAGATATAAAATAAATAAGTCCTGAGAATGTAATGTACAGCATGGTAACTATAGTTAGTAATACTGTTTTGCATATTTGATAGTCATTAAGAGAATAGATCTTAAAAGTTATCATAAGAAAACTTTTTTGTTACTCTATGTGGTGACAGATTTTAACTTCACTTACTGTAGTAGTCATTCCATAACATCTACAAAAATTTAATGATATTGTATACCTGAAACTGATATAATGTTGTATATCAATCATACCTCAATAAGAAATATTTTAAATCCCACTTACTTTATAGCTAGCACAGATTAAAAGGCTTTCAGATATCAGATCAGATAAATGTGGGCTCGTACCTGCCAATAAGTAACACTTGTTAACTGTGGAACCCCAGACAAGAAACAAAGATCTGAGGCTCAACTTCCTCATTTGTAAGTTAAAAATATTGTGGGGCATCCATTACCCCACAAATGGGATGGATTCTATTCAGGTATTGCCCACTCACCTTTGATTGCAGCCCAGTGAAGTGGGGTTCGGTCATTCCAGTCCACATCCTTGTAGTTTGGGTCACAGAGGCCTTTTTTCAAAATCTTTCTCACTAAATTGTAGTCCCCTGTAGCCACAGCTTGGTGGAGCTTTGTCATGTCTGACATTTTGGTCAATTCCATGACAAAAACAACTGTGGGAAAAACAAACAACTTGAGAAATTCTCTACAATTCTTTATTCCCAGTAAGTGATTCCACAGGATTCTTTATCATTTACTTGCTTTCTTACTTCAAAAATTGGCATATGTAAAAAAAAAAAAATGGCATATGTGTGTTCTGCTAAGAGTGTATGTGGATTTCAGCCACTGTGGTTGGCACATGCCAGTCCTCTACCTAAGGCCTATCGATGGGTCCCCTCTGCCTACAAGAATATAGGCTGAACTCATGGGTTAGCATTTCCTATTTGGCCTCAAACCACTTTATAGTACTAGTCCCTACTCCTTTCACAAAGTGCTTGTAGTGTGCTTCTGAATTAGTTGCATAATTCTGGCCTTAACTTTTTCATCTATAGCACAGGTATAATTTGCCAGAGTTGTTGTGAGGATACAAGGATGATCCATGTGAAAAATTTACCGACTGGGGGCATCTAGGTGGCTCAGTTAAGCGTCTGCCTTCGACTCAGATCATGATATTAGGGTCCTGTGATGGAAGCTTACATCAGGCTCTACCCGGCAGGGAGTCTTCTTCTCCCTCTACCCCCTCTCCTACTCATGCTCTCTCTCTCTTTCTCTCAAATAAATAAATAAACAAAACCTTTTTAAAAATTTACAGACTGGATATAGAGCGGTACTCCATAGAAATCTAATACTATTGACACACCAATTCAGATGGACAAGATGTAAACATGCAAATAAAATGCTCAAAAGTTTTTTTTATAACATTAAGATATATACCAATAATTCTCAAACCATAGTCTACAGATGCTTAGGAATCCTGACTCTTTTAGGGGATCTATGAGGTCAAAACGATTTTAATTATAATAGTTAAATGTCATTGGCTTTGTTCACTGTGCTGACATTTTCCCTGATAGTTCAAAAGCAATGATATAGAAAGCAGCTGGTACCTTAGCACAAAGCAAGGCAGTGCCAGTGACATCAAACTAGACTAGCAGGCATGCTATTCTTCACCAGCACACACATAGAGTCGAGAGAGAGAGAGAGAGAGAGAGAGAGAGAGAGAGAGAAGCTAGTTTCAATAAGGAAACTAAAGCAGTAAGAGTTATTTTTACAAATGTTCACCCGTGATTACATGACTTAATAAATGTGATTTTAAAATATTGTATAACATGGGGATCCTTGGGTGGCTCAATGGTTTAGCGCCTGCCTTTGGCCCGGGGCGTGATCCTGGAGTCCCCAGATCGAATCCCACATCAGGCTCCCTGCATGGAGCCTACTTCTCCCTCTGCCTGTGTCTCTGCCTCTGTGTTTGTGTGTGTGTGTGTGTGTGTGTGTGTGTGGCTCATGAATAAATAAATACAATCTTTAAAAAATAAAATAAAATATTGTATAACAAAATATATTAACACTTGGAAAGTCTTCATAACTCTGTGAACAAAATGGCAAGTGTATGATGTTACAAAATCATGCATGGGTAAAAAGACCCATTCAAGATAGGCCAATAGATTTTAGTGAGAGAGTATGAAAAGTATACTAAGATTGTGTCAGATTCCAACTCGTTTGTAAAGCACTACCACCGGTCCAATTTTGATGTAGTATCAAAAAGAATACGATAGTCATCTGAAATGGCTATAAAATACTCTTCCCTTTTCCAGTTTTATATATGTGTGGAATCAGATTTTCTTTCTATATTTCAACGAAAACAATAAATTGAATGCAGAAGATCTAACAATCCAGCTGTCTTCAATTAACCCACATATTAAAGAGATTCGACTGAATAAATAAATAAATAAATATGCTGTCCTCACTTTTTTTTTTGCTTTACAAACTATAATTATTTTTCATTAAAATATCATTCATGTTATTGTATATTAGGCTTATTTGATTTTTGTAAATGACTTAATAAACATCTATATTTTTCCTCAGTTTTAATTTCTAATAAGGTAAATATTGATGGTTATAATCCATATAAAGAAAAGCTCTCTTGGGTTCTCAGTAATTTCTAAGAATGTCAAGGAGTCCTGAGACCAACAACTTTGAGAATTACTGGTATAAACAGGTAAGGGGCTGGGACAGAAGAACAGAATGAGGAGAGAGTCACTTGAAGTGAGGCCAGTGGGAATGTCTCTTTGATCCCAGCATTTAAGTTGAGACCTCAAGAAAAGTTTGAAGTCAGACAATATATATTGTGGCCCAGCAGCAGCATCACCTAGGAATTTATTAGAAATGTGTATTACTGAGCCTCATATCAGACCCACTGATGTACACTGAAATATGAGGACAGTCTTAGAGTGGGAGAGAAGTTCATAACACAATAAATATGCAATGCCCTAATTGTTCTGATGGTGGTGATTTTCTAGGGATAGAAGGAAAGGACCATTCCTAGGACTTGGAAGTGAAATGCACTTTTTTTCTGAAAGTGACCTAAGCGAGTCATCCCAAAAGGAAGAATAAGAGTCATCTTGGGCACTGGCAGTATGGATATGAGATCCAGCTCAGGCACAGAACATCTATGGGGGGAGGCACATTCTGCAAAGTGCAAGTGGTTCCAACTTTCATGTATAGACCAATGATCTACAAATGTTTCCTGTAAAGGGCAGGATACAAAACTTTTAGCTTCTGTATGTCAAGAGGCAAAAATCAAGACTATTATGCAACATGATATAACTATTATGTAACAAGAGAACAACTCCTGCCAAGGGCAGGCCATCTCAAGGGGAAAAAAGGGGTGGCAGTATGCTTTGTGCCCACTGGGCCCTCAGCTGGAGAGGTTCTCAGGGTGAAGAGCAGTCAGCTCAAGGGGAGAAGGGTCTGGATGGTAGGACAGTCATCTTCCTTCTACCCCAGTGATGCCCAGATTCCAGCACCCCCTGCCTCTCCTTTCCAAGAGCCCAATCATGTCAAGTTGAAAGCTGGTGGGAGGCAAGGTTACTTGACTGAACTAATTCCACTCCTCAGTAACCGGAAATTGCCAATGGCAATTTACCAATCTCTGGTGCATATAAAGTATCTGGGATGTTGTTAAAATGCAGATTCTAGTCTATGTCGAAGCCTGAGATCCTGCATTTGCAACATGTCCCCACAACAACTACTAGTTCACAGACAACATGGAATAGCGATGCCTCTCTGAAGATAAGGCAGAGGGGGAGACCTGAAGTAAGGGAGAAGCAATAAGGGTGTAGCTATTGTTCTTCACTGAAGGACTATGGGAGAATTACCGATGGGTTTTAAAAAATAGAGGCCTGGGCCTCAGCTTGAAGTGCTTTAGAATCATTAGATGTGTCCAACAAGAACATGCCTTTTTGCGTGAAGCAAGCACTCAGTATGTGCTCGGTAATGGAAGATGGCATAGGTTGTGATTCATCTTTTTGGCTTGTTTGTTTTAGTAGAAAACTCTTACACTGGAGCATTGGATCAATGATAAAATAAAATAGTAAACAGAAGTACTAGCAGATTTCTCATCTCCAGGTGTCACAAAAAGCCAAACCATTTTTAGAATCAGTGTCTAAAAATGTCTTTCACACAGTCTTTAGGTAGGTTTATGCTTAAATCAACCCTATTTGTTTCACATTTGAGTTCACACCAAGAAAATTCCACAATTTTCTGCAGATAAGTGGTAATTCAAGTAGAAGTTTCCAATGAGCAGCTAAATTTGTTTGTAAAGAAATTGGTGAACTGATCCTAAAAACCCGTATGGAAATGCCAGGGACTCAGAACAGGCAAAAGAATTTTGCAAAAGAACAAAGTAGGAGGACTCATATATCCTGATTTCTAAACTTACTGCAAAGCTACAATAATCAGAAAGTGTGATAGGAATGAAATTCACTGTGTGGTCTAAAATGTGGTATAAAGATAGACACATAGAAATAGGATAGAATTGAGAGAAATAAATCCAGAAATAAAAATAAATCCAGAAATAAATGTTTACATTTATGGTCAACTGGTTTTCAACAAAGGTGCCAGGAAAATTCATGAGGAATAAACAATCTTTCCAAATGGTACTGACACAATTAGCTACTCACATAGTCAAGAATGTTTCCCTCATGCCAAATACAAAACTTAAAATAGATTACAGACCTAGAGGTGCCTGGGTGGCTCAGGTGGTTGAGGATCTGACTCTTGGCTTCAACTCAGGTGGTGATCTCAAGGTTGAGCCCTGTGTCGGACTCTGCACTCAGAGCAGAGTCTGCTTGTCCCTCTCCCTCTGCTCCTTCCCCTCCCTGTGCTCGTGTGTGTTCTTCCTCTTTCTCTCTCTCTGATAGATAGATAGAAATATAGATAGATAGATAGATAGATAGATAGATAGATAGATAGATAGATAGATGATAGATAGATAGAATCTTTAAAAAATGGATTACAGACCTAAATATAAGACCTTAAACTCAAATTCTTAGAAGAAAACTTGGGAGTAAATCTTCATCGCATTGAGTTAGGCAATGACCCATAGTAAGACAACAAAAGCACAAGCAACAAAAGAAAAAAAATAAACTGGACTTCACTAAGATTAAAAACTTTTTTTTCCTATAAGCAATACCTTTGAAAAAGTATAAAAGCAACTGCAGAATGGGAGAAAATATTTTCAAATTATATATCTGATAAAGAGACTTATATCCAAAATATATACAGAACTCTTACAATACAACAATAAAACATTAGCTTGCTCAATTAAAAATGGTCAAGGAATATAAACAGAAGTTTCTCCAAAATAATATGCACATGAAAGCATGCCTAAAATAATGAACACATGAAAAGATACTCAACATCATTAGTCATGAAGGAAATGCAAATCAAAACCACACAGAGACACCACTCACACCCTTTAAGATAACTGTAATCAAATAGACAATTTGAGTGTTGATGAGGATGTAGAGAAATTGAAACCCTCATGCATGTGGTAGGAATATAAAATGGTGCAGCCACTTTGGTAGTTCTTCCAAAAGTTAAACATGGAGTTAAATGACTTGTAACTCCACACTTAGGTATATACAAAAAAGAAATGAAAATATATGTCCACACAAAACTTGTACGCAAGTGTTTACAAGCAGCATGATTCTAAGAGCCAAAAAAGTGGAAACAACCTAAATGTCCTGTAGCAGACGCACTCAGGAATAAAGTGTAGGAGATCATACAATATAATATTATTTGACACTAAGAAAGGAAAAAAAAATACTGACACATGCTGCAACATAGATGAACCTTGAAAACACACTAAATGAAAGAAGCCAGGCACAAGAGACGGCATATTGTATGATTCCATTTTTGTGAAATGTCCAGAATAGGCAACTACAGAGATAGATTATTGGTTGCCTAAAACTGGGATGGGGTGAGGGTAGGAAGTGACTACTAGTGAGTATAAGATGTCTTTTGGGGATGATGAAATGTTCTAAAATTAAACAGTGGAGAAGGATGTTTTCACAACTTTAAATATATTAAAAGACACTGAACTATGTACTATAAGTTAATGAATTTTATGGTATGTAGATTATATCTCAATAAAGCTGTTTACAAAATAAACGATGCTATTAATTAGAGGCTTTCTTTAAAAAATTATTTGTAGAAAAGATCCAATTCACTAGCCTCCGACTGACTACTGAAATTTAGCAAATTTTCCTTCGCACAAATCTTTGTAAATTTGATTAAGTGCACCTGAATTTCTATCTTTCTGATAGAGGAGTCTAAATGTAAAAAAAAGTAGTCAGTAGGTAGATAAGTTCTAATAAATATGAATGATTTATAAGAGTTGCAGTAAACATCTGAAGGCAGGAGTAATATAAAAATACTTACTATCTTGTTTGAAATCTGAGGCGCTCAGCGCTGGCAGGTGTCTCAGGGGCCAGAGCTTTGTTGTGTTTCCACCATGGCAACTGGCCCCTCCTTCCTTATTAAAGCCTGCCAATCAACGTCAGCTTCGTGGGTGGTCCTCGCGGGCGGAGTGGGGACTGCATCTCTGCCTCCACCCAAGCCAGCCAGCTTTCCAGTCTGCTTCTGGGATCCTTGACAGCTTTTCATCAAATAACATTTGATCAAAATGCATGAAAATTGAAAAAAAGATGGCCAGCCCGCAGGGCACAATGAAGGAGATGAGTGACTTAGTAACCAAGATGGGGTGGTGGAAACAATGGGTGCCCCTCACTTTCAGAACCAGCTGTGAGATCTTGGGCAAGGCCCTTCAGTTGGCTAAAACTCTTATTTCTCACCAATAAGATGAAGTTTTAACATTTTTCTCACAAGGCAATAAAAGATGAGTGGCTGAAATAATTTATAAAGCACTTGGAACAGGATAGAGAAAGAGAGGGAGGGATGGAGAAAATCGTCAGGTCATTTCTCCTTGCCTCCTCCTTGTGATTCCTTACTCTACCATCTGCTATCTTTATGAAGTGCTGGTCTAAAAGGCCTACTTCCTACCTCCCTCTTGCCTCTCTCCCTCCCTCCCTCCTTCCCTTCCTTCTTCTCTTCCTCCTTCTCCTTCTTCTCTCCCTCTCTCTTTCCTCTTCTCCTTCTCTCTTCTCTCTCTTGTTCTTTTTTCTTTCCCCTGCCATTTCTCTGGGACCTTTCTTCCTGCATGTATTTATTGAATGACTTATATCTGCCAGACATTGTGCTGGGCCCTGTGGAGAACAAGACACTCGTGCTCCTTTCTTTTTTGAGGAGAGTCCAAAGTAAAAGATGACAATATTGAAAAGCATTTACCATGCAAATTCAGTATCCTATTAGCAGATTCTACTTCTTGTGGTGAACAATGAATTAGTATTTTTGTGAGACCAGGGTTTATCTTGGTCTTATTTTTAAAAGTCTCTGTGTGCTATTTGTGTCAAAATTTTAATTTTTTTTAGAATGTGACTGATTGAATAACTTCTTTCTGGGGTTAATGTCAAAAACCTACTCTTGCCCATATTGCGATAGGTCACAGTGGCCACTGGGCAATATCTGTGGGCCAGTCATTGATCTTTGCTCACACTGGCTCAAATACTGGGATGAACACTTCTGACTAAGGTGACTTTGGTGGAGTATTTTGTCCGTAGAAACCATTTTTAAGTCAGGAAGAGACTCTAGAAATCGTGATTCAAAAATTTATTTTAGAGAGAATGTTGAGACCCGTTGACATCATGTTATTTAAGTCACACTGCTACTGTGTTTTAATGCATCTTTTACCATCTCTCCCACCCTAAGTTCAGAATATATAATGGACAGTGACCACAGGTTCAAGGGTGGGCTGGACCACTTTGCCATGCCCTTGCATATTTACTGCTTATGTTGACCCTTGCTCAGGATGCCATGATTTGATTTTCTTCCACTTCCCTGCAACTCTAAAGAAGATGATAATAACAAACCCTTATAGACTTTGTGCTCAAACCAATATTTGTGGAGGAGTCAATGCAGTGAGGTGAACAGAATGGTGATCTGGTGCCTGGGAGTGACGGGAGGGAATGAGATATTTGTTAAATGCCTTTGTGCATCAGGCATTGTTCTACATGTTTTATGGATATTACTTATCAATCTTAATATCAAGTTCAAAATATAGTTTGCACACAACAGCACTGAGGCTCAGAGGACTTAAGCATCTGTCTACTTCCGGTTGAACATTGATGTGAGAGCTGGTCAGACTCAGCACCTGATGGTGTTACTGTTGGAGCCCAGATGTCAGGGAGGTTCCCTGGTTCCTTTATCTGAGACTGTGAAAATGAGTGTCAGGTTCTGTTTGTGGCTTCCAAATCATTTGTTCCCTTCTGTGTATGTCCATCCTATCCTGTAGGAGCTTTCATGGAGCCTCCTAGTCAAGGAGGGGGACTTTGGTACCTGTAGGCCCTTCAGCCTAGCATCTCTAGTCTAGACATTTCATCTTTCCTACCATTTCCTATGGACTCATTGCCTTAAGGAAGTCCTTTGGGCGATAAATTCACAGCCAATTTTCCCTGAGCATCTGATCACACGTGAAAAAGACCATATTTCGCTTTAAGGAGGTATTAATCTAGTTGAAGAAATAAAATATTATACAAATAAAATGTAATTGAAACTATATTAGATCCTCTAAGAGAAGCACTGGAGCACTTCAAAACTTAGCATTTGAAAACCCTTAAAGGATGCTGGAAATCTTCTATTGTCCCATCAGATACTATCCACTATTTGCCATCCTAAGAGGTTGACCTGTTTGGATGGTATCCATGGTCTCTCGTGTCCTTTGGCTTCCAGTTGGGCCTGGCCAATTTCCAGGAGGAGATTAAAGCATGGATGGGAAAGTGGGGTTGGAATAGGTAATCCATTGGCTTCCTTCCTGCCTGGTTGCCATGGTTTGCTGGGAAGGTCTCTGCTCCTGTCAGGTGGCCCTCTTCATATCATTCATTACCTTTACCAGGTCCTAGTCATTGGCTCCTCCTCTTGCTCCTACAGGCCCGTGGATGGCAAGGGCTCCCTAGTGTTGTTTGCCCAGAGGTACTGCACTATGCCTTGTGTGGTTTCCAGAATCCTACTCTCCCCTTGATAAACAGTCCCTTTATCAAACACTCATCAAGTCATCCAGTTTGAGGATACCACATGCTTACTGCCAGCATCTGGACCAATACAGTAGAAATTCTACAAGCAAAGGGGGTGCCCCAGCATGGAGTCCAGAATGGCTGTGTGTAAAGTGAGTTGAACGTAGGAAGACCTACAGGAAAAGGAGGCCAGATCCTGGAGAGCCACAATTGCCATGGCAGGATATCTGGATTTTATTTCTCCCTGCGTACAATGGGTAATACTGAGAGTTTCTGAATGGGGAAGTAAAATAATTACAAGTCCATCATTTTTAGAGAAGTAATTTTGCCACAAGAAGGTGTAATGTATGCTGAGAAAGACTTAGAAGGCAATAAAAAAAAGCATACACTGTGATAAAGACAGGTACAAGGATTTAAATGCAAGGATAGTCACTGAAGTGCTATTTCAAAAATTAAAAATTGTAAATAACCCAAGTTTCTAGTAAATAACTAAAATTTCCACTAATAAGGGAAAATATTATGTAGTCTCTTAAACTGATACTATCAATATGTATCTTTTGGTTTGCTGAAATATTAGTATTGCATTGCTAAATTAAAATAGAATCTCACAAAATGACCAATAATTTGGCATATGTGTGTACTTGTTTATGCAGAGAAAAGGTGAAAAGGATATACACCAAATTGACATAAAAACCGTTTTTTCCTATAATAAGCACATATGATTGTGTAAACAAAAGAGACATTTTGTAATTGTCAAGGGTAGAGCTTTTGAGGACTTTGATTAGCGTAGGGAATGGGAAAGAGGGCATTGCTAACGCTCTGTCCATAGGCTCAAATAACTTTGCAACCGGATGAGAAAGGGAGGTGTCTCTGAATCACAGTGCCACTAAGAGAAAACTGGGAGTCTTGGACGTGATACAATGCTTCCTACATCTTGACTAAGGTTAGTAAGGTTGTTATCAATGACTTGGAAAAAAAAATGTCCTGGAGACTAGTTTGGCAAGCCAGATCATAGAGTCTAGTGACTGAACCCATACATACAAAAAAGTCACTTGGAACATCCATAGTTTCAGAGTAGTGGAGAGTCAGTAAGGAGTAGAAATGCAGTAGACTTTACATAGATTGAATCTACAAAGGGTATTTAAGACACTGCCAAAGAAGGAAGGCTTAGCCTGGCATTGGATAATGAATTTTGGAACTGGCTAAAATATGGAATAAAAGATTCTTTATCTTCTTACATTTTAGAAACTTAGAGATGTGACCATCTGGGATCTATCGTCCTCTGGAAGTTCTTCACCTCTGAAGTCTTGTGCTTCAAATTCCATCCTCCGACCATGACCTTCCACCCTTCCACTTCCATCATTCTGCCTCAGTGTAAGTTCTTCCAACCCACTCAGGTCACTAGTGATTTTCAGTTCTTCCTGGTTCTTCATGCTATGTATGTATGTGTGTATTTATATACATGAATGTGTATATGTATTTATATATATTTATTTATATGACTATATATGATTTTTCCCATATACATATACATGTGTATATATAGATATATATATCAAGTGTTCTCTCTCTCTCTCTCTATATATATATATATATCAAATTATACCAAATATTATTCTAAGCAACTTACATGCATAATCCCTTTCAGTTCTTGCTGCATCCCTGTGATATTGTTGGACCCTGGCTCACGGGTGCCAACGCGTCCCGGTGGACGCCCCAGAGACTCAGACCCCAGACAGGCAGATGCAATCAGCAAGAGGGTTTATTGAACGTTTGCACAAACGGGCTGATTGCATCTGCCTGTCTGGGGTCTGAGTCTCTGGGGCGTCCACCGGGACGCGTTGGCACCCGTGAGCCAGGGTCCAACAATATAAACACTATTATGATTTCTATTGTACAGATTAGGAAACTGAGGAATTAAAAGCCTATGTAACTTGCCAAAGGCCTTTTGAGCTAGTAAAGATAGAACTGGATTCAAGCCCAGGTCTGTCTGACTCGGCCCTTTTAATTATGGCACAATGTCTGGAAAATTGTCAGGGAGGTATGTACCAAATGTTCAATAATTACTTCATCAGGTTGCGGTTGGGGGACCCCCCCACTTTTTATGTTTGTTATTTTGTTTTGTTTAGATTTCTAACAACAGGAATGTATTACATCATAACTAGAAAACAAAAATCTTTCAAATTACCATCAGTTCCCTTATTTTCTCTGTCTTTGGCAATCTGCTCTCCAATTTTCCAAGAGCAGATAAGCCTCCTCTCTGGCTTTGTTCCTGGAATAGCAACATCACCAAGGGAAGCACATGACCAGACACACTAACTCTTCAAGCAAGGAGTGAATTCCTGGCGGCCATGGGGCTCCGAAAGCTTCTAACATCCTTAGGCAGAGCCTATGACCAGCCCCCAGATTGTCACT